GGTCAGGTCTGCATCAGCAGATAATGAGAATTCCCAGAGATACTTGTAACAGAGTCTAAGCCGAGCAGTAGTAACATCTAGAAGTCTGCTGATTTTATTGGATAATCCATAGATGTGTGGCTCCTCTTGCATGATAGTATGATGATAGATGGAATTACTGGTGTCAATTTCACTTTGCCTCAGATCTAAAAGATCTTGTTGAAGTTCTCGGTGTACTGCTGCTCTCAGGTTGCTCATTGACAATCCAAGGTTACACTCAACGGCTCCTTTAAAGGTAGATTCTTTCGCTAACTTATCAGCTCTATCATGCATTCAGAGGCCAACATGAGATGGAGACCACAGGAAATGGACTGTTACCATCTTTAATAATTTTGTTGTATTTGTGTCTAGCTTCGGACACGAGCATGTTAGTTTGTTTCAGTCTTAGAGTTGAGAGCATTTAAGGATGACAGTCACTTACAATTAATGAATCAAGTTTGGAATCTTATACATATTTCAGTGCAAGGAGCAAAGCAAATAGTTCGGTCTGAAGGGTAGAGGCCAAGTTGTTTATGCGGACTCCCCACTCAAAATATAAGCCATCGCCCATTGTCAGGACAACTGCACTTCCTGCTACACCCGTAAACAACGTATGTTAAAATTTGTATTTGAGGCTGGTAGCAGCTTGGGCGAATATATAGCGGGCGTCTGCCTCACTCCCTCCCTCCCTTGTAGTTTCTTAGACCAAGACTAGGGTTAATAAGGGGTGTCTAATGACGCATTAAGCTAGCCAGCCTCACTCACTCGCTCACTGCCTGGGCGTTACGGGAGAATAAAACCACATCACAAAGTATTATTGTTTACTAATCGACACAAGTAACTTGCCAACAAACTTTATAATAACAAGTGCAGCACATTTCGGCGGCGTCATCTACAATACGAATTAATTTCCACAAGAAACATTTGAAGATGTTTTGTCACAACACAACTCGCCTGAATATGTATAACATGTGAGGTAATGAAAATAAATGCAAGTTATCATTGGTTCATAGGGGAGGGAGAGAGCATTGGTTCAGTAGTTGCAAATAACAGAGAACTTGTTTCATCACAAAGGACTCCTACAAAAATATTGGGAACGCTCACAACTACAAAAATCTTACGCTCTAAACATGGCACTTGACGAATATTTGCAGCATCATCTCGCTCTTCACACACGCTCTCCAATACAATATTATTATTTAATGTAATTCACAGATAATAAATTTAGTCTACACACACAAAATATATCTGAATAGTTTCTTGCTATAGATTTATCTAAGGACTGAAGACGTGTAGTGACCAACCTCTGTACTCGCCCAGTTGTGCTTGCGGGGGTTGAGCTCTGGCTCTTTGGTCCCGCCTCTCAACCGTCAATCAACAGGTGTACAGATTCCCGAGCCTATTGGGCTCTATCATATCTACACTTGAAACTGTGTATGGAGTCAGCCTCCACCACATTGCTTCCTAATGCATTCCATTTGTCAACCACTCTGACACTAAAAAAAATTCTTTCTAATATCTCTGTGGCTCATTTGGGCACTCAGTTTCCACCTGTCCCCCCTTGTGCGTGTTCCCCTTGTGTTAAACAGCCTGTCTTTATCTACCCTATCAATTCCCTTCAGAATCTTGAATGTGGTGATCATGTCGTCCCTAACTCTTCTGTCTTCCAGCGAAGTGAGGTTTAATTCCCGTAGTCTCTCATCGTAGCTCATACCTCTCAGCTCGGGTACTAGTCTGGTGGCAAACCTTTGAACCTTTTCCAGTTTAGTCTTATCCTTGACTAGATATGGACTCCATGCTGGGGCTGCATACTCCAGGATTGGCCTGACATATGTGGTATACAAAGTTCTGAATGATTCTTTACACAAGTTTCTGAATGTGTGTGTGTGTAGTGACCAACCTGTGTGTGTGTGTGTGTGTGTGTGTGTGTGTGTGTGTGTGTGTGTGTGTGTGTGTGTGTGTAGTGACAACCAAATATTACACCACATACCATTTATAACCTTTTGACAAAGTTTTTATTGTGAAGTATACACCGTAGTGCTGTATACTTCACAGTACGCCGTAGTGCTGTATACTTCACAGTACGCCGTAGCGCTGTATACGTCACAGTACGCCGTAGCGCTGTATACGTCACAGTACGCCGTAGCGCTGTATACGTCACAGTACGCCGTAGCGCTGTATGTCACAGTACGCCGTAGCGCTGTATACGTCACAGTACGCCGTAGCGCTGTATACGTCACAGTACGCCGTAGCGCTGTATACGTCACAGTACGCCGTAGCGCTGTATACGTCACAGTACGCCGTAGCGCTGTATACGTCACAGTACGCCGTAGCGCTGTATACGTCACAGTACGCCGTAGCGCTGTATACGTCACAGTACGCCGTAGCGCTGTATACGTCACAGTACGCCGTAGCGCTGTATACGTCACAGTACGCCGTAGCGCTGTATACGTCACAGTACGCCGTAGCGCTGTATACTTCACAGTACGCCGTAGCGCTGTATACTTCACAGTACGCCGTAGCGCTGTATACTTCACAGTACGCCGTAGCGCTGTATACGTCACAGTACGCCGTAGCGCTGTATACGTCACAGTACGCCGTAGCGCTGTATACGTCACAGTACGCCGTAGCGCTGTATACGTCACAGTACGCCGTAGCGCTGTATACGTCACAGTACGCCGTAGCGCTGTATACGTCACAGTACGCCGTAGCGCTGTATACGTCACAGTACGCCGTAGCGCTGTATACGTCACAGTACGCCGTAGCGCTGTATACGTCACAGTACGCCGTAGCGCTGTATACGTCACAGTACGCCGTAGCGCTGTATACGTCACAGTACGCCGTAGCGCTGTATACGTCACAGTACGCCGTAGCGCTGTATACGTCACAGTACGCCGTAGCGCTGTATACGTCACAGTACGCCGTAGCGCTGTATACGTCACAGTACGCCGTAGCGCTGTATACGTCACAGTACGCCGTAGCGCTGTATACGTCACAGTACGCCGTAGCGCTGTATACGTCACAGTACGCCGTAGCGCTGTATACGTCACAGTACGCCGTAGCGCTGTATACGTCACAGTACGCCGTAGCGCTGCGCTGTAGCGCTGTATACGTCACAGTACGCCGTAGCGCTGTATACGTCACAGTACGCCGTAGCGCTGTATACGTCACAGTACGCCGTAGCGCTGTATACGTCACAGTACGCCGTAGCGCTGTATACGTCACAGTACGCCGTAGCGCTGTATACGTCACAGTACGCCGTAGCGCTGTATACGTCACAGTACGCCGTAGCGCTGTATACGTCACAGTACGCCGTAGCGCTGTATACGTCACAGTACGCCGTAGCGCTGTGAAGTATACAGCTTCACAGTACTGTTCCCAGTAGCCTTTACTGCTGTGCCTGCTCCACTAATTTGCATATTCCACAGTTCTGTTAATTTTGAACTGGCTCCTGTATATACTTACACCTGACTCCACATCTGCCTCATCTTGAGATGAGTGCACGTGTATATTAGTATTATCTTGTACACATGTTTCATCAACACTTGTTCTTGGGCGTTTACAGCTCAACACACTCCGGCACTCACTGCTTCACAGCCGTCATCACCACCACGGAATTATATTAAAATGTTCATGTGTTGAATTGGCAACTTTCACTGTGCTAGAAAATGGACCTATTAAGCTAGTCCAACACATTAACGTTGAGTCAGTGAGTTGACCGGTCAAGTTACTTGGTAACACCACACACACTGAATACCACATTTAGTTAATACAGACAATAGACACTATAGGAAGGCCGGGCAAGATTATCCCCTCGTGGACCACTGTTGGTGGGGGATGGGTCAGGTCAACCACCACCACTGTTGGTGGGGGCTGGGTCAGGTCAACCACCACTGTTGGTGGGGGATGGGTCAGGTCAACCACCACCACTGTTGGTGGGGACTGGGTCAGGTCAACCACCACTGCTGGTGGTGGATGGGTCAGGTCAACCACCACTGCTGGTGGAGGCTGGGTCAGGTCAACCACCACTGCTGGTGGAGGCTGGGTCAGGTCAACCACCACTGCTGGTGGAGGCTGGGTCAGGTCAACCACCAGCCCAGGAGGATACACACACACACTATCCTCACTACAACAATCATTATACATTTGTCAAGTCACTTTTAATGAGGCTTTCAAACTCCTCCGTCTAAAGTATCATATTGTGTAAGACTGAGACTGACGCACAGAACGTTGAGCAAAATGGTTTTGGCCATATTTGTGTTGACATGTCAAATGTGTAGAATACATTTGTACAACATTAGTTCATTATCACACACTCCCTCGGCTCTCTTTATCCCCCTCTAGTGTAAGGTAGACGATTGTTTGACACATGTGTACAGGCACACCTCCAGCTGTGACACATGTGTACAGGCACACCTCCAGCTGTGACACATGTGTACAAGCACACCTCCAGCTGTGACACATGTGTACAGGCACACCTCCAGCTGTGACACATGTGTACACGCACACCTCCAGCTGTGACACATGTGTACAAGCACACCTCCAGCTGTGACACATGTGTACAAGCACACCTCCAGCTGTGACACGTGTACACGCACACCTCCAGCTGTGACACATGTGTACACGCACACCTCCAGCTGTGACACATGTGTACAAGCACACCTCCAGCTGTGACACATGTGTACAGGCACACCTCCAGCTGTGACACATGTGTACAGGCACACCTCCAGCTGTGACACATTTGTACACGCACACCTCCAGCTGTCTAAACACTTGTGTAGTCATAACCTAGTGACTGAAAATATATACAACTTAATATTAAACTTGACCAAGTTTATATTGCACTTGAGTGGGCTCGCACCGTTACCATCGTGAACTTGTTCAAAGTTCTATAATGCTGAGACACATCTTATAACATCTTTCTTGTATTAACACGTTCATCACCACAACAACAATTATATTATCAATGGAACCAACACATCTCAAGATGAAGACACGGCGAAGTTGGGCCACCAGTCCTGAACCGTTGGGCCACCAGTCCTGAACCGTTGGGCCACCAGTCCTGAACCGTTGGGCCACCAGTCCTGAACCGTTGGGCCACCAGTCCTGAACCGTTGGGCCACCAGTCCTGAACCGTTGGGCCACCAGTCCTGAACCGTTGGGCCACCAGTCCTGAACCGTTGGGCCACCAGTCCTGAACCGTTGGGCCACCAGTCCTGAACCGTTGGGCCACCAGTCCTGAACCGTTGGGCCACCAGTCCTGAACCGTTGGGCCACCAGTCCTGAACCGTTGGGCCACCAGTCCTGAACCGTTGGGGCACCAGTCCTGAACCGTTGGGGCACCAGTCCTGAACCGTTGGGGCACCAGTCCTGAACCGTTGGGCCACCAGTCCTGAACCGTTGGGCCACCAGTCCTGAACCGTTGGGCCACCAGTCCTGAACCGTTGGGCCACCAGTCCTGAACCGTTGGGCCACCAGTCCTGAACCGTTGGGCCACCAGTCCTGAACCGTTGGGCCACCAGTCCTGAACCGTTGGGCCACCAGTCCTGAACCGTTGGGCCACCAGTCCTGAACCGTTGGGCCACCAGTCCTGAACCGTTGGGCCACCAGTCCTGAACCGTTGGGCCACCAGTCCTGAACCGTTGGGCCACCAGTCCTGAACCGTTGGGGCACCAGTCCTGAACCGTTGGGGCACCAGTCCTGAACCGTTGGGCCACCAGTCCTGAACCGTTGGGCCACCAGTCCTGAACCGTTGGGGCACCAGTCCTGAATCGTTGGGGCACCAGTCCTGAATCGTTGGGGCACCAGTCCTGAACCGTTGGGCCACCAGTCCTGAACCGTTGGGGCACCAGTCCTGAACCGTTGGGGCACCAGTCCTGAACCGTTGGGGCACCAGTCCTGAACCGTTGGGCCACCAGTCCTGAACCGTTGGGCCACCAGTCCTGAACCGTTGGGCCACCAGTCCTGAACCGTTGTCGTCTAACACGTCGGGTAATGGTCCAGGACGGACCAACTTGACAATGGTCCAGGACGGACCGCAACGTCGTCGTCTCTTCACCTTCATATGTTTGGTTTGGTCCAGAAGACTTCAGCCACATTAGTCACTGGTCTGTGGTACAAGTCTTCAGCCACATTAGTCACTGGTCTGTGGTATAAGTCTTCAGCCACATTAGTCTGTGGTACAAGTCTTCAGCCACATTAGTCACTGGTCTGTGGTATAAGACTTCAGCCACATTAGTCACTGGTCTGGGGTACAAGTCTTCAGCCACATTATTCTGTGGTACAAGTCTTCAGCCACATTAGTCTGTGGTACAAGTCTTCAGCCACATTAGTCACTAGTCTGTGGTACAAGTCTTCAGCCACATTAGTCACTAGTCTGTGGTACAAGTCTTCAGCCACATTAGTCACTAGTCTGTGGTACAAGTCTTCAGCCACATTAGTCACTAGTCTGTGGTACAAGTCTTCAGCCACATTAGTCACTAGTCTGTGGTATTATCAATCGATTACATTATCAAATACATTAGGCCTATTTAATAAAATAATATACAGTAAATAAATTAGCTGATTAAAATTATTACATTGTACAATTATTAAATACAATGCTTTTCAAGTACAATACATAACTAACAAGTAATTGTACAGCTTTTCCTCGCCAGCATTGTGGCGGGGGGGGGGGGTGACCGTGAGTCAGTGTCGCCTCAGATCATAAATAAATAAGTTGTATCCTAGAGGTGAGGCCCCGGGTGCCATCCTCGGTGTCTCACCTGGCCTGAGATACTTTAAAGCAAGACAGCAGTACACTATTATCACTACCAGAGTAACATTGTACTCACGTCATTTAATAATAACAAAAAAGTTTCACTATATTTCTGAGCAATGAAGGGATCACTTCGACACGTCGACTCGTGACTGTGGAGTTCAACAAAATTCTAAGATTCTACTTCAACTCGTGTTCACACCAAAAAAATCTGTACAGTAATGCTTTTTGAGACACATCAATGTTTGGTAATGCTCAGAATAAGTCTGGCGAGAGAGGAACAATTACTGATACACCTTTCACGTAGTGCGTGAACCATCTTGGCGAGTAATGAAGAGCAGCTATGGTGTGGGCCGCCAGTCTCCTGCTGCTGTACCAGTACTCTATGGTGTGGGCCGCCAGTCTCCTGCTGCTGTACCAGTACTGCTATGGTGTGGGCCGCCAGTCTCCTGCTGTACCAGTACTCTATGGTGTGGGCCGCCAGTCTCCTGCTGTACCAGTACTCTATGGTGTGGGCCGCCATCATCTCCTGCTGTACCAGTACTCTATGGTGTGGGCCGCCATCATCTCCTGCTGTACCAGTACTGCTTGATGAGGTCGGCAGCCTTCTCTCCTATCATGATGATGGGAGCGTTGGTGTTGCCGGAGACGAGCGTCGGCATGATGGACCCGTCCGCCACACGCAGCCCAGACACACCGTACACTCTGCCGGGACCACACATATTACACCAACTGCATGTGTGTGTCTGTGTGGAGGGGGGGGGTGCGAGAGAGAGAGTGTGTGTGTGTGTGTGGAGGAGGGGGTGCGAGTGTGTGTGTGTGTGAATGTGTGTATGGGTGGTGTTGGCCTTCCAACCTATTATCAGCTTCTGAAGGATTATTAAGGTCACTACAGTAACTTATTGAACCGTCAACAGGTATACTTTAGTCCTCAACATAGTCCAGGACTAAAGTATGTTCTACATATACTTTGAATATGTATACGTATATGCCAAATCTTGGCATATACGCCGAGACTTCGGGCACACCTTTCAGCGTATATAACCCTTGATTTTTAAATAATATAGCAATAATAATAATAAAATTGTTAATACCAATAATATTCTCCTTCAATGAGACCTCAGCACAGAGGAAGACAAAGGCTTACTCATAATTCGCTAAGCATAAAATATAAAAAATAAATTAAAGTAAGGAAACTCAGGCCTTCCTGGTATTATAATTTCCACGTAGTATCAGCAAGTCAGTCATTTTAAACAGGCGGCGGCAAGCCAGGAGGACTGTGCAACACCGTCTCTGTTACTTGATATTCAAAAGGCACTAAATATCATGCAAGATGCCAATTCGAGAACAGGAGGACATTGGGCGAATGATATCAGTTATAAAATTCACCAAGAATTTTAACAAGAGACAAACAACCTCTAGGTACATTAGGAAAGCTAAACACCAACATCCCGAAAATGGGGACAATCGACAAGGTGCATGACTGTGTGGGTCAACGCACTTTGGACAAAAGAGGCAGAATGGTGTTCCAGTAAGTGTGACCAATGGTGTCACAGCTGGAATGGTTGTGTGACCAATACACAACCTAGCCAAAGCCGTTTCCCATCGCCTTTCACAGTGGTAGGAGGAAGACCAAGCAGGGAAAAGCCATGTTTAAGAGCATGCAGGGTATTAAATGTAGCGCCAGCCCAGTGATCCTGAAATGGTCGCAGATAACAGCATTAATGATCAAGTAGAAATCCAAATAGGATGCCGCTTTCTGGGAAACGTTGTAAGCATGAATGGACTCCTCAGTGGCAATATCTGCTCGCAGAAACTCCAATATGGCTGAAAACCAGCAAAATTTCAGTCTTATATCTGTCAGAGATAAGAAACATCCAGTATTGGATTTCACCGCCACAGGATGCAATGGGGTTAAAAAGACTCTAGAGCCATGAGGGTACTGCTGGAGTCAACCATATTGACAATGGAACGATGATGAAGAGAAAGCACCCGACGAAGACCATACAAAATTTCCTAAAGTTCTGTCTTGAAGCTGCTAGTCTCCAGGGAGGTGGGCGGCTCACACAGGTTAGACGGGGGACAACAGTGCAGTAGCCGACACCGTCGCCTGACCAGAAGTCATCTGTCAACACAGCAATGGCGTCTGAGAGAGAGGAAAAATTTCTTGGGAAAAGACTTTTCAAAAGAGTAAGGTTATAAGCATTCACCATGCAGAAAATCTTGCAAATTTTCACATGTTTGACTTCCATGGGGGCCAAGCTGGAACAACATCCTCCATGGGGCCAAGCAGGAACAACATCCTCCATGGGGCCAAGCTGGAACAACATCCTCCATGGGGCCAAGCTGGAACAACATCCTCCATGGGGCCAAGCTGGAACAACATCCTCCATGGGGCCAAGCTGGAACAACATCCTCCATGGGGCCAAGCAGGAACAACACAACACAAGAAAAGAAATTTGCCAATACAGAGAGAATTTTGCAAATGAACCCCATTTGCTGGAAAGAGAAAGGGGCAAGAGGGAGCAGGGCCTCCTGAGTTGAAATGGCACAAGTGGAGCTGGGATGTTGGAGGGACCGCGCAGGGTACAGAAGTCACCAACGATCACCACAATCCTGTAGAGACACGACGCCGGTTTCAACGTGAAAGTTGTGGGCGAGGGATGAACAAACGGCACTAGAGGCGAGGAGTGGCCCAGTATGGTGCAGAAATCAAGTTGACGAAGGGTCGAGATAACCCTGGGTCTCGAAGACATACTTAATATCCTCATGACAGTCCGCGGGTTCTCTATCCCCATTTTCAACATGGGGTGGAAGGAGGATGTTCGATTCCAGAACAGGGCCTCACCACTGAGATAGGGCAGTTAGGAGTGTGGCTGCCGCCTTAGAGGGGGGCCAGACGACGCGGGCGCCAGTCCAGGTGGGAGTAAACTGACTACAAGCATATCCATAAGGTCGATAAGGTGTCTGTGTATGCGTAAATCGTCAAGGCGGGAATGTTCATCAAGAGTTCATAATATCTGGTCCACGCAGCGGAGCTGAAGAGATTGTCATTGTGGGAAACGTGCAAAAACGACGGCGAGGACGTCGCCACAGACCTCACCAGGGGCTCAAAGGTCAACCCTGCCAAGGGAGATGATCCATAGTGATAGTCAAAGACAATGTCTGATCTGGGCCCACCACAGCCTGAGCTATGGAGCTCGATCTTCCAACACGATCCGACTCTGGGACCTGTTCGCCAGCCTTATAAGTTGAGAAGGGGAAATACTGTCAGTATCAAACAAAAATAGCAGAGCTTTGCTTCCCAGCACCCCCACCCACCACGGAGCCCAACAAGCAAAAGGACGAGCACATGGGCAAGCACATGAACAAGCAACTTCACGGGTAGCCGAAACAGTACGGGTACCATTGAAGGCAGAGTGGTATATCCCAGGGATCCGATATCTAACTAGGCGGGCTTACCAGATGAGCCGATTGGTTGAAGTGGGCAACAACGGACCTCTCTACATACCGCCATCGCCCACCAAAGAAGTGTGTTGCTCCCCCAGTAGATGCTCTGCTGGGGTAAGTTCAACTCACAGAGGAAGGAACATAAAGGAATGCACGGCTAACTTCCGCTTTTGCGCCGCCACAGCAGGCAGAAGTGGGGATCAGGGACCATCTCCCGCCCAAAAGATGTACACAAGAGCCCCGTCACCACATCAAGGCCCTAACGACTGAGGGGGGAATAGTACCTGCTAGTTTATCTTAGCTGCTCACACATACACATACACACACAGGTCGAGCTAAAGCCCTCATTAACAAAACAAAGCCATACTTAAGCTCTGGGTCGACAACAGCGCCGGGGTCCCAGTAAGGCCCCATCTTGCAGGTACCGACGGGGTGGTAGATGGTGGAGGTGTAGTGGCGCGCCAGACACTCCCAGTACGCGTCCGTCCACAGTCGGGTGTGCTCACACCCTGGCATGGGCCGGGTGTAAAACCTCGACCCAAACTTCTTGAACGCCCGCGTCTCCGTCAGTGCCATACCAATCTTGATACCTGAAGGTGGGACACACACATTGAGGGACATGCGAGGAAGGAGACTGGGGAGGAGCTATATCAATGATGGTTGTCAACCGCTCGGTGTATTATACTGTGGCGGTGTACTGTGGAGTCGTAGTACTGCCGGGGTGCGACAGGTGTGTGGAAGGGGTGGAGTGCGACAGGTGTGTGGAAGGGGTGGAGTGCGACAGGTGTGTGGAAGGGGTGGAGTGCGACAGGTGTGTGGAAGGGGTGGAGTGCGACAGGTGTGTGGAAGGGGTGGAGTGCGACAGGTGTGTGGAAGGGGTGGAGTGCGACAGGTGTGTGGAAGGGGTGGAGTGCGACAGGTGTGTGGAAGGGGTGGAGTGCGACAGGTGTGTGGAAGGGGTAGAGTGCGACAGGTGTGTGGAAGGGTTGGCCATTACCTTCAACCATAACCCTGACGTCCTGCGGGTCGGTCAAATAGTTGTGGGTGATTAAGGGCTTGTCGAAGGGACTGGCTGAGCGCAGAGTTATGAAGCCCCGGGAGTTGGGCCGGAGCAACATGGGGTAGATGGACCAGCTGTCCCGGAACGATATTGGTTTAAACATTTGCTGCCATGTCTGTAACGTAAGAACCATTATCAACCACCAGCTCCTGGTACACTGTCGACCAGCAACGCTGGCAATGTTCCCTGTACTCAGATAACACCATTCACTCCTACCAGCCTAACCCCCCCCTACCAGCCTACCCCCATAACAGCCTACCCCCATAACAGCCTACACCCATAACAGCCTACACCCATAACAGCCTACACCCATAACAGCCTACCCCCATAACAGCCTACAACATTAATCCCAATAACCCTGACACCCTGCGCCCTTGACACCCTGCGCCCTTGACACCCTGCGCCCTTGACACCCTGCGCCCTTGACACCCGGCGCCCTTGACAACCTTGGACTTACACGATCAGAAAGGCCGTGGACTTTCCGTATTTGCCGGCCTCCGTCAGAGGCTGGGGAGCCGGATATGAAGTGGAACTCTATATCCGGCCAGTCATCAGACTGGTTAGCGAACTTGGTCTTGACGAAGCCTAAGCCCTCCACGCCCCCCATCACTGTCAGCGGACCTGTGGGAGGGAACCATTAATAGTGGTCAGGCAGGTGTGTGGGATGAGGGCATCAGGCAGGTGTGTGGGATGGGGGCGTCAGGCAGGTGTGTGGGATGAGGGCGTCAGGCAGGTGTGTGGGATGAGGGCGTCAGGCAGGTGTGTGGGATGTGGGGGGTCAGGCAGGTGTGTGGGATGGGGGCGTCAGGAAGGTGTATGGGATGTGGGGGGTCAGGCAGATGTGGGGGATCAGGCAGGTGTGTGGGATGTGGGGGATCAGGCAGGTGTGTGGGATGTGGGGGATCAGGCAGGTGTGTGGTATGTGGGGCGTCAGGCAGGTGTGGGGGGTCAGGCAGGTGTGTGGGATGGGGGCGTCAGGCAGGTGTGTGGGATGGTTGGCGTCAGGCAGGGGACCCCCGGACAGGTGTGTGGTGTGGCATGGGGGCGTCAAGCAGGGGTCCCCCAAGACAGGTGTGGGATGGGGGGCGTAAAGCAAGACCCCCAAGACAGGTGTGGAATGAGGGGGGGGGCGTCATGCAGGGTCCCCCAGATAGGTGTGTGGTGTTGGATGGGGGGCGTAAGGCAGGTGTGGGATGGGACGGGGGAGGGAACCATCCATACTGGTGGAGGGAATACCCCGAGGTATTGGAGGGTTGTAATGTAACAGCTGAGTCAGTGATGACAGGCACTCACAGAGCACACACACTCACAGAGCAGATCAACACACACAGAGAGCAGATCAACACACACAGAGAGCAGATCAACACACACACAGAGCAGAAATAAAGAAAAATCCAAAATACTTCTTCACATATGCGAAATCAAAAGCAAAAACCACTGCCAGTATTGGACCTATTCGTACCAGTGAAGGTTCATACTCGGAGGATGACAAAGAAATTAGTGAAATCCTAAAAAGCAGTATGAGGACATGTTTAGCACTCCAATAAACAACATGAAAGTGGAAGATCCAGACAATTTCTTTACGAGGGGATATTCAAACCTCTGCAAATATAACTGATGTCAACACGAGCGTACTAAACATTGAAAGAGAAATTGAAAACATGCCCATGCACTCGCCCCCGGGTCCAGATTCACGGAATTCAATATTTAGACAGAAATGCAAAGTGCCGGTAGCACAGGCACTCAGTATAGTGTGGAGGAAGAGCTTGGACACGGGGGAGATACCAGATGCACTTAAAGTAGCAGACATAGCCCGTCTACAAAAGGGAGGGAGCAATGCATTGGCAAAGAATTATAGACCAGTTGCACTAACGTCGCACATAATAAAAGTATTTGAGAGAGTGATTAAGAGTCAGGTCACCAATTTCATGGAGACCAATGACCTTCACAACCCAGGCCAACATGGATTTCGAGCGGGAAGATCGTGCCTCTCACAGCTACTTGATCACTACGACAAAGTCACTGAGGCATTAGAAGAAAAACAGAATGCTGATGTGATATACACGGACTTCGCAAAGGCTTTCAATAAATGTGACCATGGCGTGATAGCACACAAAATGAAGTCAATGGGAATAACCGGTAAAGTAGGACGCTGGATACTCAGTTTTCTTTCAAACAGGACTCGGCAAGTAACAGTCAATCATATAAAATCTAGTCCAAGCGCAGTTAAAAGCTCTGTACCTCAGGGTACAGTCCTTACACCGCAGCTTTTCATTATTCTCATATAAGATAGAGACAAAAAATGCAAGTCATAGTTTCGTATCATCCTTTGCTGATGACACAAAAATCAGTATGAAAATTACCTCGACTGAAGACATTGAAAAACTTCAAACTGATATTAATAAAGTTTTCGACTGGGCATCAGAAAATAACATGATATTTAACAGTGATAAATTCCAGGTACTCAGGTACGGTAAAAATGAGGACCTTAAACATAATACAGGGTACAAAACACAATCAAATCTGCCCATAGTAGGAAAACAGCATGTAAAGGATTTGGGAATAATGATTTCTGACGACCTAACGTTTAGGGAACATAATCAAGCAAATATTGCGTCAGCCAGAAATATGATAGGATGGATTACGAGAACTTTCAAATCCAGGAATCCCATCACAATGGTTGTACTCTTCAAGTCACCTGTGTTGTCCCGTCTTGAGTACTGCTCAGTACTCACTTCCCCCTTCAGAGCAGGAGAGATTGCTGAAATAGAGGGAATACAGAGAACATATACGGCACGCATAGACGCAATAAAGCACCTAAATTATTGGGATCGTCTCAAAGCCCTCCAAATGTACTCACTAGAAAGGAGACGAGAGAGATACCAAATAATATACACGTGGAAAATACTGGAGGGCCAGGTCCCAAATCTACACAGTAAAATAATAACATACTGGAGTGAACGATATGAAAGAAAATGCAGAATAGAACCAGTGAAGAGCAGAGGTGCCATAGGCACAATCAGAGAACTGTATAAACATCAGAGGTCCGCGGTTGTTCAACCTCCTCCCAGCAAGCATAAGAAATATTGCGGGAACAACCATGAACATCTTCAAGAGGAAGATTGTTTCCTCCAAGGAGTGCCGGACCAACCGGGCTGTGGTGGGTATGTGGGCCTGCGGGCCGCTCCAAGCAACAACCTAGTGGACCAAACTCTTACAAGTCAAGCCTGGCCTCGGGCCGGGCTTGGGGAGTAGAAGAACTCCCAGAACCCCATCAACCAGATCAACACACACTCAGAGAATAGATCAACACTTTCTGTGGATCCCCTCCCATGTTGGAATATGTGGGAATGAACGAACAGATGTACTGGCTGCTGAAGGAGACCATATTGAATACTTCATACCCAAGACTCTACTACAAATTAGAGGTATTGTCAGGCAATATCACCGTGACAAAGTAACTGAGGAAAGGAGGATAGAAGCACAAACCAGTGAATCTATACGATGGTACAACATGGTTGCAGCTGGCAATCCCAGTCATTATGGCCGAAGAGGAAGAGGACGAGGGAGGGAATCAGTAATAGCAAGAATCCGTCTTGGATACAAATATCCATGGAGATACGGAATGGAAACAACAGTTAAGCAGTGGAGTTGCAGAATCTGTGATGAGAGTGACGGACCACTATCTACGTGAATGTGAACACCTGAGAGATATTAGAAGTATGTGTAGAATAATAAACCCCACATTGTTTGAATTAGGAAAACACTATGCCAAATATTGATACTGTTCTTAAAAGATTTACCCATTTTGCACCCGCAAGATAACGTAAGCTTTTAAGGGTTGATAGATGTTAATCTTCTTGTTTGAGGAGCTGTTCGCTTGAGACAGTTAAGCAAGTCCCAGCTGTGTCTGGGTACAAGTGACAGGATGAACAACCCAGCGGGTTTTCTTCCTATTGGGGAGTGTTGTACATGCTGCTATGGCGGTGTGTCCACTCACAAGATGAGTAGCGCTGCCCAATACTGTCACTATGGCGGTGTGTCCACTCACAGGATGAGTGGCGCTGCCCAATACTGTCACTATGGCGGTTTGTCCACTCACAGGATGAGTGGCGCTGCCCAATACTGTCACTATGGCGGTTTGTCCACTCACAGGATGAGTGGCGCTGCCCAATACTGTCACTATGGCGGTGTGTCCACTCACAAGATGAGTGGCGCTGCCCAATACTGTCACTATGGCGGTGCGTCCACTCACAAGATGAGTGACGCTGCCCAATACTGTCACTATGGCGGTGCGTCCACTCACAAGATGAGTGACGCTGCCCAATACTGTCACTATGGCGGTGCGTCCACTCACAAGATGAGTGGCGCTGCCCAATACTGTCACTATGGCGGTGTGTCCACTCACAAGATGAGTGGCGCTGCCCAATACTGTCACTATGGCGGTGTGTCCACTCACAAGATGAGTGACGCTGCCCAATACTGTCACTATGGCGGTTTGTCCACTCACAAGATGAGTGGCGCTGCCCAATACTGTCACTATGGCGGTTTGTCCACTCACAAGATGAGTGGCGCTGCCCAATACTGTCACTATGGCGGTGTGTCTACTCACAAGATGAGTGGCGCTGCCCAATACTGTCACTATGGCGGTGTGTCCACTCACAAGATGAGTGACGCTGCCCAATACTGTCACTATGGCGGTTTGTCCACTCACAAGATGAGTGGCGCTGCCCAATACTGTCACTATGGCGGTTTGTCCACTCACAAGATGAGTGGCGCTGCCCAATACTGTCACTATGGCGGTGTGTCTACTCACAAGATGAGTGGCGCTGCCCAATACTGTCACTATGGCGGTGTGTCCACTCACAAGATGAGTGACGCTGCCCAATACTGTCACTATGGCGGTGTGTCCACTCACAAGATGAGTGACGCTGCCCAATAAACCCGCCCCTCGGGGCAAAATTAAAAAAAAATCAACACACTCAGAGACCAGATATGGGTATCCTATTGGAAATATTTTGAGACAACAAGATTTCTCATAACTTTGATAAGATTCCTGACTGCACCTCGTGGGTGGGTGGGTGGGTGGGTGAGTGAGTGAGTGACAGTACTCACCGGAGCCAAACATGGCGTACTTGAGAACACTGGGAAGGTTCTCATAGCGGGTCTGCACGAGGGAAATTTTCTTGTTGATGAGGAAGACGAGGCCGCCCGTGCCGATGTGGTCCTGTAGGTTGTGGCCCACCGGCAGGTCCTGTAGCACTGGGATCTGTCGGGAGGCCAGGGTGTGGTCAGCACGGGGGGGGAGGCCAGGGTGTGGTCAGCACGGGGGGGGAGGCCAGGGTGTGGTCAGCACGTGGGGGGTGGGGGCCAGGGTGTGGTCAGCACGTGGGGGGGGAGGCCAGGGTGTGGTCAGCACGGGGGGGGAGGCCAGGGTGTGGTCAGCACGGGGGGGGAGGCCAGGGTGTGGTCAGCACGGGGGGGGAGGCCAGGGTGTGGTCAGCACGGGGGGGGGGGGGGGGAATCCAGGGTGTGGTCAGCACGGGGGGGTGGGGGCCAGGGTGTGGTCAGCACGGGGGGGAGGCCAGGGTGTGGTCAGCACGGGGGGGGAGGCCAGGGTGTGGTCAGCACGGGGGGGGGAGGCCAGGGTGTGGTCAGCACGGGGGGGGGGGCCAGGGTGTGGTCAGCACGGGGGGGTGGGGGCCAGGGTGTGGTCAGCACGGGGGGGAGGCCAGGGTGTGGTCAGCACGGGGGGGGAGGCCAGGGTCAGCAGGGTGTGGTCAGCACGGGGGGGGAGGCCAGGGTGTGGTCAGCACGGGGGGGGAGGCCAGGGTGTGGTCAGCACGGGGGGGGGGAGGCCAGGGTGTGGTCAGCACGGGGGGGGAGGCCAGGGTGTGGTCAGCACGGGGGGGGAAGCCAGGGTGTGGTCAGCACGGGGGGGGAGGCCAGGGTGTGGTCAGCACGGGGGGGTGGGGGCCAGGGTGTGGTCAGCACGGGGGGGGTGAGGCCAGGGTGTGGTCAGCACGTGGGGGGGGAGGCCAGGGTGTGGTCAGCACGGGGGGGGGAGGCCAGGGTGTGGTCAGCACGTGGGGGGTGGGGGCAAGGTGTGGTCAGCACGGGGGGGAGGCCAGGGTGTGGTCAGCACGTGGGGGGAGGCCAGGGTGTGGTCAGCACGTGGGGGGGCAAGGTGTGGTCAGCACGGGGGGGGAGGCCAGGGTATGGTCAGCACGTGGGGGGGGGGGCAGGGTGTGGTCAGCACGTGGGGGGGGAGGCCAGGGTGTGGTCAGTACGGGGGGGGAGGCCAGGGTGTGGTCAGCACGTGGGGGGGGGGGGCAGGGTGTGGTCAGCACGTAGGGGGGGAGGCCAGGGTGTGGTCAGCACGGGGGGAGGGAGGCCAGGGTGTGGTCAGCACAGGGGGGGGAGGCCAGGGTGTGGTCAGCACGGGGGAGGGGGAGGCCAGGGTGTGGTCAGCACGTGGGGGGGGGCAAGGTGTGGTCAGCACGGGGGGGAGGCCAGGGTATGGTCAGCACGTGGGGGGGGGGGCAGGGTGTGGTCAGCACGTGGGGGGGGGTGGCCAGGGTGTGGTCAGTACGGGGGGGGGGAGGCCAGGGTGTGGTCAGCACGGGGGGGGGGCAGGGTGTGGTCAGCACGTAGGGGGGGAGGCCAGGGTGTGGTCAGCACGGGGGGAGGGAGGCCAGGGTGTGGTCAGCACAGGGGGGGGAGGCCAGGGTGTGGTCAGCACGGGGGAGGGGGAGGCCAGGGTGTGGTCAGCACGGGGGGAGGGAGGCCAGGGTGTGGTCAGCACAGGGGGGGGAGGCCAGGGTGTGGTCAGCACGGGGGAGGGGGAGGCCAGGGTGTGGTCAACACGGGGGGGGAGGCCAGGGTGTGGTCAGCACGTGGGGGGGGGCAGGCCAGGGTGTGGTCAGCACGGGGGGGGAGGCCAGGGTGTGGTCAACACGGGGGGGGGAGGCCAGGGTGTGGTCAGCACGGGGGGAGGGAGGCCAGGGTGTGGTCAGCACGTGGGGGGGGGAGGCCAGGGTGTGGTCAGCACGTGGGGGGGGGGCAGGGTGTGGTCAGCACGTAGGGGGGAGGCCAGGGTGTGGTCAGCACGGGGGGGAGGGAGGCCAGGGTGTGGTCAGCACAGGGGGGGAGGCCAGGGTGTGGTCAGCACAGGGGGGGGAGGCCAGGGTGTGGTCAGCACGGGGGAGGGGGAGGCCAGGGTGTGGTCAGCACGTGGGGGGGGCAAGGTGTGGTCAGCACGGGGGGGAGGCCAGGGTATGGTCAGCACGTGGGGGGGCAGGGTGTGGTCAGCACGTGGGGGGGGTGGCCAGGGTGTGGTCAGTACGGGGGGGGGGGAGGCCAGGGTGTGGTAAGCACGTTTGGGGGGGCAGGGTGTGGTCAGCACGTAGGGGGGGAGGCCAGGGTGTGGTCAGCACGGGGGGAGGGAGGCCAGGGTGTGGTCAGCACAGGGGGGGGAGGCCAGGGTGTGGTCAGCACGGGGGAGGGGGAGGCCAGGGTGTGGTCAGCACGGGGGGGGAGGCCAGGGTGTGGTCAACACGGGGGGGAGGCCAGGGTGTGGTCAGCACGGGGGGAGGGAGGCCAGGGTGTGGTCAGCACGGGGGGGAGGCCAGGGTGTGGTCAACACGGGGGGGAGGCCAGGGTGTGGTCAGCACGGGGGGAGGGAGGCCAGGGTGTGGTCAGCACGTGGGGGGGGGAGGCCAGGGTGTGGTCAGCACGTGGGGGGGGGGGCAGGGTGTGGTCAGCACGTAGGGGGGGAGGCCAGGGTGTGGTCAGCACGGGGGGAGGGAGGCCAGGGTGTGGTCAGCACAGGGGGGGGAGGCCAGGGTGTGGTCAGCACGGGGGAGGGGGAGGCCAGGGTGTGGTCAGCACGGGGGGGGGGGAGGCCAGGGTGTGGTCAGCACGTGGGGGGGGGCAGGCCAGGGTGTGGTCAGCACGGGGGGGGAGGCCAGGGTGTGGTCAACACGGGGGGGGGAGGCCAGGGTGTGGTCAGCACGGGGGGAGGGAGGCCAGGGTGTGGTCAGCACGTGGGGGGGGAGGCCAGGGTGTGGTCAGCACGGGGGAGGGGGAGGCCAGGGTGTGGTCAGCACGGGGGGGGGGAGGCCAGGGTGTGGTCAGCACGGGGGGGGAGGCCAGGGTGTGGTCAGCACGGGGGGAGGGAGGCCAGGGTGTGGTCAGCACGTGGGGGGGGCAGGGTGTGGTCAGCACGGGGGAGGGGGAGGCCAGGGTGTGGTCAGCACGGGGGGGGGAGGCCAGGGTGTGGTCAGCACGTGGGGGGGGCCAGGGTGTGGTCAGCACGTGGGGGGGAGGCCAGGGTGTGGTCAGCACGTGGGGGGGAGGCCAGGGTGTGGTCAGCACGGGGGGGGGGGAGGCCAGGGTGTGGGGGGGGGGGGAGGCCAGGGTGTGGTCAGCACGGGGGGGGGAGGCCAGGGTGTGGTCAGCACGGGGGGGGAGGCCATGGTGTGGTCAGCACGTGGGGGGGAGGCCAGGGTGTGGTCAGCACGTGGGGGGGAGGCCAGGGTGTGGTCAGCACGTGGGGGGGAGGCCAGGGTGTGGTCAGCACGTGGGGGGGGAGGCCAGGGTGTGGTCAGCACGGGGGGAGGGAGGCCAGGGTGTGGTCAGCACGTGGGGGGGGCAGGGTGTGGTCAGCACGGGGGAGGGGGAGGCCAGGGTGTGGTCAGCACGGGGGGGGGAGGCCAGGGTGTGGTCAGCACGTGGGGGGGGGCCAGGGTGTGGTCAGCACGTGGGGGGAGGCCAGGGTGTGGTCAGCACGTGGGGGGGGAGGCCAGGGTGTGGTCAGCACGGGGGGGGGAGGCCAGGGTGTGGTCAGCACGGGGGGGGGAGGCCAGGGTGTGGTCAGCACGGGGGGGAGGCCATGGTGTGGTCAGCACGTGGGGGGGAGGCCAGGGTGTGGTCAGCACGTGGGGGGGAGGCCAGGGTGTGGTCAGCACGTGGGGGGGGGAGGCCAGGGTGTGGTCAGCACGTGGGGGGGGAGGCCAGGGTGTGGTCAGCACGGGGGGGAGGCCAGGGTGTGGTCAGCACGTGGGGGGGAGGCCAGGGTGTGGTCAGCACGTGGGGGGGGAGGCCAGGGTGTGGTCAGCACGTGGGGGGCCAGGGTGTGGTCAGCACGGGGGGGGAGGCCAGGGTGTGGTCAGCACGGGGGGGGAGGCCAGGGTGTGGTCAGCACGTGGGGGGGGGGGGGGAGGCCAGGGTGTGGTCAGCACGGGGGGGCCAGGGTGTGGTCAGCACGTGGGGGGGAGGCCAGGGTGTGGTCAGCACAAGTACTCGCAAAATAATAAATTTCAGTCATTTCCAGGTGAGAGGAAGACAAGATGGTGCACCAGGTGAGAGGAAGACAAGATGGTGCACCAGGTGAGAGGAAGACAAGATGGTGCACCAGGTGAGAGGAAGACAAGATGGTGCACCAGGGGAGAGGAAGACAAGATGATGCACCAGGTGAGAGGAAGACAAGATGGTGCACCAGGTGAGAGGAAGACAAGATGGTGCACCAGGGGAGACGAAGACAAGATGGGGCACCAGGGGAGAGGAAGACAAGATGGTGCACCAGGGGAGAGGAAGACAAGATGGTGCACCAGGTGAGAGGAAGACAAGATGGTGCACCAGGGGAGAGGAAGACAAGATGGTGCACCAGGTGAGAGGAAGACAAGATGGTGCACCAGGTGAGAGGAAGACAAGATGGTGCACCAGGTGAGAGGAAGGCAAGATGATGCACCAGGTGAGAGGAAGACAAGATGGGGCACCAGGTGAGAGGAAGACAAGATGGGGCACCAGGTGAGAGGAAGACAAGATGGTGCACCAGGTGAGAGGAAGACAAGATGGTGCACCAGGTGAGAGGAAGACAAGATGGTGCACCAGGTGAGAGGAAGACAAGATGGTGCACCAGGTGAGAGGAAGACAAGATGGGGCACCAGGGGAGAGGAAGACAAGATGGGGCACCAGGGGAGAGGAAGACAAGATGGTGCACCAGGTGAGAGGAAGACAAGATGGTGCACCAGGTGAGAGGAAGACAAGATGGTGCACCAGGTGAGAGGAAGACAAGATGGTGCACCAGGTGAGAGGACGACAAGATGGTGCACCAGGTGAGAGGAAGACAAGATGGTGCACCAGGTGAGAGGAAGACAAGATGGTGCACCAGGGGAGAGGAAGACAAGATGGTGCACCAGGGGAGAGGAAGACAAGATGGTGCACCAGGGGAGAGGAAGACAAGATGGTGCACCAGGTGAGAGGAAGACAAGATGGTGCACCAGGTGAGAGGAAGACAAGATGGTGCACCAGGTGAGAGGAAGACAAGATGGTGCACCAGGTGAGAGGAAGACAAGATGGTGCACCAGGGGAGAGGAAGACAAGATGGTGCACCAGGTGAGAGGAAGACAAGATGGTGCACCAGGTGAGAGGAAGACAAGATGGTGCACCAGGTGAGAGGAAGACAAGATGGTGCACCAGGTGAGAGGAAGACAAGATGGTGCACCAGGTGAGAGGAAGACAAGATGGTGCACCAGGTGAGAGGAAGACAAGATGGTGCACCAGGTGAGAGGAAGACAAGATGGTGCACCAGGTGAGAGGAAGACAAGATGGTGCACCAGGTGAGAGGAAGACAAGATGGTGCACCAGGTGAGAGGAAGACAAGATGGTGCACCAGGTGAGAGGAAGACAAGATGGTGCACCAGGTGAGAGGAAGACAAGATGGTGCACCAGGGGAGAGGAGGGGAGAGGAAGACAAGATGGTGCACCAGGTGAGAGGAAGACAAGATGGGGCACCTGGTGAGAGGCAGACATTTTGGGCACCAGGTGAGAGGCAGACATTTTGGGCACCAGGTGAGAGGAAGACAAGATGGGGCACCAGGGGAGAGGAAGACAAGATGGGGCACCAGGGGAGAGGAAGACAAGATGGGGCATCAGGGGAGAGGCAGGCAGCTAACCATGCCCCCAGAGCTGTCAGTCCCCGGGTATTTACTGCTATATACTCCCCATTAACTGCGGGTTGGAGGGGCCACACGTCCACTGCCCGGGTGGGACGCCTCCCGTGCCCTCAGCCAGGCTCCTCCTCCTCTTAATACTATACCCATCTTTCTGGTCTTTATTATTGGCCATAATTAATTGATATTGTATATTATTGCCCTGGATTAGTAAACTTTCTAATGCGTTATAATTACCATCAACATTACAATGCAGTGCCGAGTCCCCTCGCAGTTTCAGGTCTGCAAAAGTTAATATTAAGCGTCCTGGACGTCCATCAGTTACCAGTATCTCATTCAAGCAGTTGTCACCTAACTGGTGTCTCTCTCTTGGACCTAATTTGGCTAAAGTACTCCCCCGTGAAGCTGCACTTGCTCCTTCACCAAGGATGGTTCTATCTTTCGCTCAACACAACGTTCCTCCAAGTTTCTTGAACGAAACATCGTCACAACGAATATAATACCAGCAGCCTGGAGAGCTTCGAGCAATACCCGTCTGCTCTTGACAACTTTCCTCACCCATGTTTAGGAACTTGACACTTACCCCGTGGGTGTAGAGGAGCTTGACACTTACCCCGTGGGAGTAGAGGAGCTTGACACTTAACCCGTGGGAGTAGAGGAGCTTGACACTTACCCCGTGGGAGTAGAGGAGCTTGACACTTACCCCGTGGGAGTAGAGGAGCTTGACACTTACCCCGTGGGAGTAGAAGAGCTTGACCCTTACCCCGTGGGAGTAGAGGAGCTTGACACTTACCCCGTGGGTGTAGAGGAGCTTGACACTTACCCCGTGGGAGTAGAGGAGCTTGACACTTACCCGTGGGAGTAGAGGAGCTTGACACTTACCCGTGGGAGTAGAGGAGCTTGACCCTTACCCCGTGGGAGTAGAGGAGCTTGACCCTTACCCCGTGGGAGTAGAGGAGCTTGACACTTACCCGTGGGAGTAGAGGAGCTTGACACTTACCCCGTGGGAGTAGAGGAGCTTGACACTTAGCCCGTGGGAGTAGAGGAGCTTGACACTTAGCCCGTGGGAGTAGAGGAGCTTGACACTTACCCCGTGGGAGTAGAGGAGCTTGACACTTACCCCGTGGGAGTAGAGGAGCTTGACACTTACCCCGTGGGAGTAGAGGAGCTTGACACTTACCCCGTGGGAGTAGAGGAGCTTGACACTTACCCCGTGGGAGTAGAGGAGCTTGACACTTACCCCGTGGGAGTAGAGGAGCTTGACACTTACCCCGTGGGAGTAGAGGAGCTTGACACTTACCCCGTGGGTGTAGAGGAGCTTGACACTTACCCCGTGGGAGTAGAGGAGCTTGACACTTACCCCGTGGGTGTAGAGGAGCTTGACACTTACCCCGTGGGTGTAGAGGAGCTTGACACTTACCCCGTGGGAGTAGAGGAGCTTGACACTTACCCCGTGGGAGTAGAGGAGCTTGACACTTACCCCGTGGGAGTAGAGGAGCTTGACACTTACCCCGTGGGAGTAGAGGAGCTTGACACTTACCCCGTGGGAGTAGAGGAGCTTGACACTTACCCCGTGGGAGTAGAGGAGCTTGACACTTACCCCGTGGGAGTAGAGGAGCTTGACACTTACCCCGTGGGAGTAGAGGAGCTTGACACTTACCCCGTGGGAGTAGAGGAGCTTGACACTTACCCCGTGGGAGTAGAGGAGCTTGACACTTACCCCGTGGGAGTAGAGGAGCTTGACACTTACCCCGTGGGAGTAAAGGTGCTTGGCTGGGCCTACTCCGGAGAGCATGAGCAGCTGGGGAGTGTTGATGGAGCCGGCCGAGAGGACGACCTCCTTCCTGGCCAGGACGACCTGGGTGAGTCCGTCGCGCAGGAACTGCACGCCGTAGGCTCGCTTGGAGTCCCGCGAGATCAGGATCTGGGGGACGCGCTCAGTTACTTCCCTATTTCCTCAAATTTGTGAAATTCAAATGAGATGAGATGTCTGTGTGGGGTGACAGGTGTGAGGGAAGGGGTGACAGGTGTGAGGGAAGGGGTGACAGGTGTGAGGGAGGGGTGACAGGTGTGAGGGAGGGGTGACAAGTGTGAGGGAAGGGGTGACAGGTGTGAGGGAAGGGGTGACAGGTGTGAGGGAAGGGGTGACAGGTGTGAGGGAAGGGGTGACAGGTGTGAGGGAAGGGTGACAGGTGTGAGGGAAGGGTGACAGGTGTGAAGGGGGAGGGGTGACAGGTGTGAGGGAGGGGGTGACAGGTGTGAGGGAGGGGGTGACAGGTGTGAGGGAGGGAAGACAGGTGTGAGGGAGGGGTGACAGGTGTGAGGGAGGGGTGACAGGTGTGAGGGAGGGGTGACAGGTGTGAGGGAGGGGTGACAGGTGTGAGGGATGATAGGTGTGAGGGAGGGGTGACAGGTGTGAGGGAGGGGGTGACAGGTGTGAGGGAGGGGGTAACAGGTATGAGGGAGGGGTGACAGGTGAGAGGGAGGGGTGACAGGTGTGAGGGAGGGGTGACAGGTGTGAGAGAAGGGGTGACAGGTGTGAGGGAAGGGGTGACAGGTGTGAGGGAAGGGGTGACAAGTGTGAGGGAGGGGTGATAGGTGTGGGGGAGGGGTGATAGGTGTGAGGGAGGGGTGACAGGTGTGAGGGAGGGGTGACAGGTGTGAGGCAGGGGTGACAGGTGTGAGGCAGGGGTGACAGGTGTGAGGGAGGGGTGACAGGTGTAAGGGAGGGGTGACAGGTGTGGGAGAGGGGTGACAGGTGTGAGGGAGGGGTGACAGGTGTGAGGGATGAGTGACAGGTGTGAGGGATGGGTGACAGGTGTGAGGGAGGGGTGACAGGTGTGAGGGAGGGGTGACAGATGTGAGGGAGGGGTGACAGGTGTGGGGGAGGGGTGACAGGGGTGACAGGTGTGAGGCAGGGGTGACAGGTGTGGGGGAGGGGTGACAGGTGTGAGGGAGGGGTGACAGGTGTGAGGGAAGGGTGACAGGTGTGAGGGAGTTGTGACAGGTGTGAGGGAGGGGTGACAGGTGTGAGGGAGGGGTGACAGGTGTGAGGGAGTTGTGACAGGTGTGAGGGAGGGGTGACAGGTGTGAGGGAGGGGTGACAGGTGTGAGGGAGGGGTGACAGGTGTGAGGCAGGGGTGACAGGTGTGAGGGAGGGGTGACAGGTGTGGGGGAGGGGTGACAGGTGTGGGGGAGGGGTGACAGGTGTGGGGGAGGGGGGACAGGTGTGCGGGAAGGGTGACAGGTGTGCGGGAAGGGTGACAGGTGTGAGAGAGGGGTGACAGGTGTGGGGGAGGGGTGACAGGTGTGGGGGAGGGGTGACAGGTGTGGGGGAGGGGTGACAGGTGTGGGGGAGGGGTGACAGGTGTGGGGGAGGGGTGACAGGTGTGCGGGGTGTACCAGTACCTTAGTAACGAAGGCGTGCATGGCCACGTGAAGGTTGGGTCTGAGCCTCACGGGGCGGATGAAGGCCTTGCTGGTGGAGCACCGGGACCCGCGCCTCAGTGTCCCCTGGGGGATCATGAACCCTGGGGGGGGAGGTCACACGTCAGCATAACTACCTCATATAACACTATCCTACCCTCACTTAACACAGACTATCCTACCCTCACTTAACACAGACTATCCTACCCTCACTTAACACAGACTATCCTACCCTAACTTAACACAGACTATCCTACCCTCACTTAACAGACTATCCTACCCTCACTTAACACAGACTATCCTACCCTCACTTAACACAGACTATCCTACCCTCACTTAACACAGACTATCCTACCCTCACTTAACACAGACTATCCTACCCTCACTTAACACAGACTATCCTACCCTCACTTAACACAGTCTAACCTACCCTCACTTAACACAGTCTAACCTACCCTCACTTAACACAGTCTAACCTACCCTCACTTAACACAGTCTAACCTACCCTCACTTAACACAGCCTAACCTACCCTCACTTAACACAGCCTAACCTACCCTCACTTAACACAGCCTAACCTACCCTCACTTAACACAGACTATCCTACCCTCACTTAACACAGACTATCCTACCCTCACTTAACACAGACTATCCTACCCTCACTTAACACAGACTATCCTACCCTCACTTAACACAGACTATCCTACCCTCACTTAACACAGACTATCCTACCCTCACTTAACACAGACTATCCTACCCTCACTTAACACAGACTATCCTACCCTCACTTAACACAGACTATCCTACCCTCACTTAACACAGACTATCCTACCCTCACTTAACACAGACTATCCTACCCTCACTTAACACAGACTATCCTACCCTCACTTAACACAGACTATCCTACCCTCACTTAACACAGACTATCCTACCCTCACTTAACACAGACTATCCTACCCTCACTTAACACAGACTATCCTACCCTCACTTAACACAGACTATCCTACCCTCACTTAACACAGACTATCCTACCCTCACTTAACACAGACTATCCTACCCTCACTCCCTTACCCTCACTTAACACAGACTATCCTACCCTCACTTAACACAGACTATCCTACCCTCACTTAACACAGACTATCCTACCCTCACTTAACACAGTCTAACCTACCCTCACTTAACACAGTCTAACCTACCCTCACTTAACACAGTCTAACCTACCCTCACTTAACACAGTCTAACCTACCCTCACTTAACACAGTCTATCCTACCCTCACTTAACACAGTCTATCCTACCCTCACTTAACACAGTCTATCCTACCCTCACTTAACACAGTCTATCCTACCCTCACTTAACACAGTCTAACCTACCCTCACTTAACACAGTCTAACCTACCCTCACTTAACACAGTCTATCCTACCCTCACTTAACACAGTCTAACCTAACCCTCCCTTTGCCCAAATTAACCTAGCCTAACCTAGGCTAACCTAACTAAGACAAGGGTAAGTCAGGCTAAGTTAACTTAACCTATCTTAACTTAGCCTATTCTAACAGCGTAAATAAACCTAGCGTAACTTGGCCAATCCACTTAAATATAATAACAAATTAAAATCAATATACCACAAAACTTTATCTCCAAAAGGTTGATATTTAAATCATTTTCACAAAATTAAAATCCATCCTCAGTAGACAGTGAAGTGTGACAGTGAGTGTTAGACACAATCACTACTACACTACCAGCCACACAACAGTGTGACAGTGAGTGTTAGACACAGTCACTACTACACTACCAGCCACACAACAGTGTGACAGTGAGTGTTAGACACAGTCACTACTACACTACCAGCCACACAACAGTGTGACAGTGAGTGTTAGACACAGTCACTACTACACTACCAGCCACACAACAGTGTGACAGTGAGTGTTAGACACAGTCACTACTACACTACCAGCCACACAGCAAGTAACTTACAGCTATCACACCTCCGAGGGGCGTCCAGACCGCTTATAATATCGGTATAACGAGGTAATGAAAATATCTTAATACAAAGAGAAGACAATGAGTGAGTGGAGTGACGGGACGACGTCCTGGTCACCATTCACCAAGCACTTACGACACCTGTACATCTTATCTCCATCATGGCGGCTTAGCCGATATATTTACTAACAGTTTACGAGCACAGGAGCGCTGTGATGTCTTCGTAACTCTAGTAACCTTGGGAAGAGAACGACCTCGTAGCGTATCGCACCTCGTAACTAGTTTATTAATGCCGACTAAACCCTATGATGGACATGGATGGTCCAGGCCTCGTAAGTGGCTGTTGCCGGCCGATGCAAAATCCGCTTCGATCCACCAGTAGTGCGCCGGCCTCTCTTCTTTCATGGCCAGGGCTCGATTCCCAACGGCCCAAGTGGTTGGGCCCCATTCCTTTACCTCGACTCGTCCCAAATCCTTATCTTGACCCCTTCCCAGTGCTATATAGTCGTAATGACTTGGCGCCTTCCCCTGATAATTGCCTCCCTGCCGTCTCCCTCCCGTCCCCAAGTGCCGTACAGTAACGCGGACAGTGTCTGCGTCTATAGTGACCACCTCACCACCAAACAACCAGCTGTGGACGACCTACCTGTCTGGAACTCGGCGTTGTAATCCCGGTTCTCGTAGCCCATCTCGATTCCGCCCTCCACGAAGGCTGTTCCCAGCGGCGTCCTCCAGGGCGCCTCCTGCACCGTCAGGTACCCGCCCGTCCCGTGGTACTTCACTGTCAACAGTGTTAGTAACGTTAGTGACACGGTATAGTGTTGTGGCGCCTGGCACGGTACAGTGTTGTGGCGCCTGGCACGGTACAGTGTTGTGGCGCCTGACACGGTACAGTGTTGTGGAGCATGGCACGGTACAGTGTTGTGGCGCCTGGCACGGTACAGTGTTGTGGAGCCTGACATGGTACAGTGTTGTGGAGCATGGCACGGTACAGTGTTGTGGCGCCTGACACGGTACAGTGTTGTGGCGCCTGACATGGTACAATCTTCAGATGTTTCACCTTCCACTTGACTTGGAAATAATTACTATAAAAAGGAATACTACTACTAATAATAATAATAATAATAATAATATTATCTCACAAAAATCACTATAACGTGATATATATCGATGAGAAAATCCTCTAGGAATATATGGAAAAAAATAACTTTTTTCATTGATATTTGTGGATTTTATCATTGAGATTATATTATATAATATATATATATATTATATATATATCCGGTTAATGTGATGGCTGTGTGTGTGAAGTTGGGTGGTCGGGTGTGGGAGGACTCTGCCACCCGGGTGCTGGTGGCTCCTGTCTACACACTGGGACTGGCCTCAGTAGCGGCCGCCACACTTCCACTGAGTTCAGTAGAAATACAGTTTTTTTTTTTGGGTGGTGGGGGGCGCAAGTGCCAATGGTCCAATGGTACCGTACGCGACTGGCAATCCCGGGGTCGTAGGTTCGCGCCCACCTATAGTCCCATTGGTATTTCTCAATAATAATATCGAAGGTGAAGAAAAAGACGCAATACGCGTGTATTATTATTATTATTACTACATTTTCGGATGAAATTTCCATGGTTTTTCAATACCATGTTCTTAACCGGTGTCTGTGTTTATACGCGTAGCAGAGCGCCCTCTGGCCTCCATCACTAGACGTCCTTATGCTAGGCTCCCCAAGGACTCCTAGGGACACCCAGGGACTTTTCCCAGACACACCCCAGGGACTCCCTGAGGGTTGGCCAAACATGTGATAAATGGTGTGGGAAGTGTGGCCGGGGTCACACCACCACAACGTCTGCGCTTATATGAATAAGATTTGTTAAATTAGCTTCATTAAGAATAATTTTACGGTTAATTGAATCTACTAAAAGATGTGTTGCCCGTTACTGTCTATTGAATCCAAAATTACTCCATCTATTAGGCGTCTCTCTTTGATATTTGAGCAGTAATAAAAGAATACTTGATAATAGTGTTAATAGTTATACTTCTTTCAAAAACTTTTATGTTGTGATGATAGTGCTATCGGCATCCAGTTTTTTGTGTCTGCTTTATTGCCTCCTTTATGAAGTGCTGCTATGTCTGCTGTGTATAGTTTGTCAGGGATAACACAAAGTATGTAACCTCCATCTCTAAAACCTGTTGAGCATGAGACTGCTCCCTCGGGTGTACTCACAGTTTCTGGCGATGTAGGGGTTCCTGTTGTCTTCAGACTTCTTGAAGTAGTGTAGGACATTGTCGTAGCCCCAGCCGTGGTTGCCGAAGGACTCCCATTGGTCGTAGTCGCGCCGGTTGCCCCTCACGTAGAGCATGTAGTTGAGCACTGACGACCCGCCCATCACCTTCCCCCGGGGCCAGTTGCACCGCTGAGGGGAGACACACACACCATGTTGATATATGCTGCTACTGTGTGTGTGTGTGTGTGTGTGTGTGTGTGTGTGTGTGTGTGTGTGTGTGTGTGTGTGTGTGTGTGTGATGCTGGATCTTGCTCAAGGACAAGGCAGAGGATCTTCCTCTGCCACGTCTCTAGGAACAAGGGTGAGATGTATTTGTTCTTTGACAACTTATTTAGACATCCTAGTGGTCTAGGTTACAAGATGGACATAGGCTGGTTGGGTCGGTCATATTAGTCATTTTGAGGAGGGGATCGGGCCTAATGATGTGCTCCCCCCCCCCCCCCCACAACCCAATCACGTAATCAGAGAAAGGTGGCTGGCTGTGACCCTAGATTTCTTCACTCTAAAATGAACGTGAACGTGAATTCAGAACACCTAGTTAGCTTTTTTGACACACTGTACTCCACTTCATATAGTCTAGGGTAGCTGCACTAATGCACATGTACCTCGTGTATTAATAAAAAAAATCAGAATTATATTTTCCGAGATGGAGAGGAAAGGAGAGGCGGCGGATGCTTGGAGAGAGGGGAGGAGAGAGGTGTAAAGAGGGGAGGAGGGAGGTGTAAAGAGGGGAGGAGAGAGGTGTAAAGAGGGGAGGAGGGAAAGAAACTTGTGAGGAACTAGAGAGGGATGTTGGGAAGAGTGGGGGATAATACTAACACAAGTCGTCAGTGAAGCACTTGTCCCGGAAGTGTTCGAACGTCAGCAGTTGTGAGTCGTGTGTAAACCGTTTGTTATTCACAAACAGCTGGGGTTTGGCGGGTGGGTGGAATGGACTTTGGGTCTTTGTTTAGAGGACGGACTGTTTACAACAGCCTGTCCTCCAAACAGACCCAAAAGTGATTCCACCCACCCGCCAAACCCCAGCTGTTTGTGAATAACAAACGGTTTACACACGACTCACAACTAAGTGCTTCACTGACGACTTGTGTTCGAACCACAACGCTGTAAATGCTTCACCCACGTACTACAAATACAAATAATCGCCAACAGAACCTAAACACCTAACCTATGCCTATATATGCACAGTATGCTAATATATAATATTAATTTATATTTGAGAAAAGCTGTTTTAATGAGCAGCATGTTAAAATTGATTAATGCGTCTGTGGGGTCGACCGCTGGATGGAATGGTCTTGGTCTGAGGACAGGTTGCACAATTACACCTGCTGGGACAACAGCTCCTCCAGGAATAAAGCTCCAGCATACATTAACATAAAGAATTAACATCGACGAGATGTGCAACAGTCTAGACAACAATACAACAAAATAAACCAAAACACAATAGTCATGACTGAACGGCAAGTTTTTCTTTGAGGGTCAGCTTCATTCATAAGACCGCCGGCAGCACGGCCGGGCGGCGCTGCCAGACGTTTATCAGCCTCAGGGAGTGTCCATGTATAATGAGGTGTGGAGTAGAATATGGTCAGTGTTAATGGGACCTTGGAAGGTGAGGTGCTGACAGCTGGAACACTCTGATCCCCAGAGGGAACCTCATCCTGTGTGGGAGAAAGTTAAACGAAATCCTCCTGTTATATATTCAGTCTTTCCGCGTCTTATTAAGGAATGGTTGACTTTACTTCTGATGTCTCTCCGTCCCTCCCTCCCTAGGTTCTCAGTCTCTCCGTCCCTCCCTCCCTAGGTTCTCAGTCTCTCCGTCCCTCCCTCCCTAGGTTCTCAGTCTCTCCGTCCCTCCCTCCCTAGGTTCTCAGTCTCTCCGTCCCTCCCTCCCTAGGTTCTCAGTCTCTCCGTCCCTCCCTCCCTAGGTTCTCAGTCTCTCCGTCCCTCCCTCCCTAGGTTCTCAGTCTCTCCGTCCCTCCCTCCCTAGGTTCTCAGTCTCTCTCTCCCTCAACCACACTCTCTCACTCTTGCTTCCCCCACCGGGGGAGGGGGAGGCCGACCCGGACACAATGCTCCAGTAAAGTAGAAAGTTTTGTAATTAGTAACGGCCCTTCCAGGTGATGGTGGAGGGGGGGGGGACGAGGAGAAGATATGAGGGACAAAATAGTGATAGCAGGGATGGTGGACAGGATACTAGTGAGTACCAGTGAGTAAAGGGGGGCACGAACCCAAGGTACGGACAAGGATAAGCGAGGAGAGGACTCACCTTGCCAGCCATGGCGAGGCAGGCAGAGTCCTGGGGCTCGGTCTTGTACCGCCAGTCCATCTTGGAGAGCTGGAGGTAGCCGGCCAGGGCGGGCACGTCGCTGATCTCCGTCTCGTCTCCTCCGGCCTCCAGCAGCAGCACGCTGAAGGCCGGGTCCTCCGACAGCCGGTTGGCCACCACCGCTCCCGCAGACCCGGCGCCAACTGCGGTCAACAAGAGAACAACGTGTTGTTAGCTGCTAACGTTGGGCAACGTTTACTACCAGCTATGGGCAGGGAAAGTCTACTATCAAGGCTCGGAAGTCGTCTTCTACTGTAACCACCTTTGTAAAAGAGATCTCGTCTACGTCTCTACCAACCTGTGTAAAAAATAAACAAATTAAGATGAAATATGCACAACCAGCACTGGTTGATGTTCAATGGGAGACCCAATAAGACTCCCGTTACCAGATTTACAGTTTTTCCTTCCCGCCAGCGAAGGGAAAAACTGTAAACGTGTTTACAACCAGGCGCCCAGTTACTGCTGGGTGAACAGGGGTAAAAGAGCTATAAGGCTCGGCGTCCAGTCGACCGTCCCGGGCCCGGTACAGTGGTCAGTCTTGGTGGTAATGATCCCTTATGTTGACCTCGGGGACCACACCACCACCACCTGGTGGTCACTATTACCATCTCTCACACCTGACATGATCTGCGGACAACCTGGCACGACCCTTATGCCGCGCCCCCACACTACGGACGACCACGTGCCGCGCCCCCACACTACGGACGACCACGTGCCGCGGCCCCACACTGCGGACGACCCTCATGCCGCGCCCCCACACTACGGACGACCACGTGCCGCGGCCCCACACTGCGGACGACCCTCATGCCGCGCCCCCACACTACGGACGACCACGTGCCGCGCCCCCACACTACGGACGACCACGTGCCGCGCCCCCCACACTACGGACGACCCTCATGCCGCGCCCCCACACTACGGACGACCACGTGCCGCGCCCCCCACACTACGGACGACCACGTGCCGCGCCCCCACACTACGGACGACCACGTGCCGCGCCCCCACACTACGGACGACCACGTGCCGCGCCCCCACCCTACGGACGACCACGTGCCGCGCCCGCCACACTACGGACGACCACGTGCCGCGCTCGCCACACTACGGACGACCACGTGCCCCGCTCGCCACACTACGGACGACCACGTGCCGCGCCCCCACACTACGGACGACCACGTGCCGCGCCCCCACACTACGGACGACCACGTGCCGCGCCCCCACACTACGGACGACCACGTGCCGCGCCCCCCACACTACGGACGACCACGTGCCGCGCCCCCACACTACGGACGACCACGTGCCGCGCCCCCACACTACGGACGACCACGTGCCGCGCCCCCACACTACGGACGACCACGTGCCGCGCCCCCACACTACGGACGACCACTTTAGCACTCACATTTCTCTCAACATCTGTCGTCAAACAAGAAGGAGGTTAATTAAGGTTACCTGTGAGTGTACGGCGCACCTGAGGATGATTTACGACCCAATTAGGTCATTTATTCACTTGTCTTCCGCCACAGTTGAAGACGGGCGGAGGTGGAGACCTGCCGGTGAAGACACTCTCTCTCTCTCTCTTACACTCTCACATTCTTCCTCTCTCACTCCCTCCCCACGTTTCACTCCCCCACTCTTCCGTCTTACCCTCTCACACTTCTCGCCCTTCTCTACCCTCTTCCACCCTTCCTTCTCGCACTATCATTGTCTCTATTTTTGTCTGTCCTTGTTTCTTTGTTTGTCTTCCTCTCTCTCTTTGTCCTGGTCGACCCGGTCTCTCTCTCTTTGTCCTGGTCGACCCGGTCTCTCTCTTTGTCCTGGTCGACCCGGTCTCTCTCTCTTTGTCCTGGTCGACCCGGTCTCTCTCTCTTTGTCCTGGTCGACCCGGTCTCTCTCTCTCTCTCTCTCTCTCTCACACACACACACACACACACACACACACACACACACACACACACACACACACACACACACACACACACACACACACACACACACACACACACACCTAATATATGACCACTGACGTGTGGCTGCTCCGCCAGTGGGAGGAAAATAGTGGTGTGAAATATTACAACAAATATATAGTTACTCCCTTGACTTTCAGAAAGAGCTAAAGAGAAAGCATTTGAAGCTCTAGAAACATCATTTGTTTTATGGTGCTACAAAATATGAATACCAGAAAATTTGGTATTTTCTCGAGATGATAAAAAAAAATTATCGTGAGTCCAGAATGTGACGCCATGCTGTTACCTCTTGAAGTCTGGTGATCCCAACCAGACTATGTCTGTCCTGTACCACAGACCATCCCCCCTGCAAAGTTGGGTGACGTTACTCCCAAGCGTCTGGCCTCTTACTCTGGACTGACAGACATTCACTTACATATATCAATCAACCTGTCATTAAAAACTGGATTTATAACAATTTGAGGAATGAACAAAACTGTACAGTTATCACACCAGAAACTAAGCACATATATGTACTAAGTTAAGCATAAAGTAATGGACTGCTTACTAAGGACTACTACAGGGTAACTTGGGTAAGACAGTTACTGTTCCTTATATTAAGAAACCAATAGGGAATATTCCAATAGCAGAAATATAAGAAAAATATCTGGTAAGACCGTCCACTCGTGTGTGTCCATCCATTACTTGCTATAAACTTAAGGTTTTTAATAATGGGTGACGTCGAACTTGCCCTTCACACCATACTTCACCTACACATACCTGACATTAAGGCACATGCACCAACACACACACAGGGAGGCACACTTCAGTGTCACAGTAGTTAACAGGTGGAATGCATTAGGAAGTGATGTGGTGGAGGCTGACTCCATACACAGTTTTAAGTGTAGATATGATAGAGCCCAATAGGCTCAGGAACCTGTACACCAGTTGATGGACAGTTGAGAGGCGGGACCAAAGAGCCAGAGCTCAACCCCCGCAAGCACACCTAGGCGAGTATAATTAGGTGAGTACACACACACACACACACACACACACACACACACACACACACACACACACACACACACACACACACACAGGGTGGATGCATTCAGGTCAAATTGTCTCGAGATGTGGAATAATGGCGCAGAGCATGAATATGTTCTCCCACAGTACACTGTGTTCCCACAGTACACTGTGTTCCCACAGTACACTGTGTTCCCACAGTACACTGTGTTCCCACAGTACACGGTGTTCCCACAGTACACGGTGTTCCCACAGTACACGGTGTTCCCACAGTACACGGTGTTCCCACAGTACACAGTGTTCCAATCTCAAACAATGAGACAATTAAGCAAGTCCCGGCTGTGTCTGGGGTACAAGTCCCGGCTGTGTCCCACTACAAGTCCCGGCTGTGTCCCACTACAAGTCCCGGCTGTGTCCCACTACGTCGTATTGTCAACTGTTGACACAAGATCCTTCAGGAACACCTTGATGTCGCTGCAGATAACAACATTATTGCTAATACCACTGAGTAAACTGGACTCCTCCCACCACAGCTCTGCCTTACACACGCCAGGGCTGGGGTGAGCACATGCTGAGTACATCTGGGTGAACACATCAAGGGTGAGTACATCCGGGTGAGTACATTTGGGTGAACACATGAAGGGTGAGTACATCCGGGTGAATACATCTGGGTAAACACATCAAGGGTGAGTACATTTGGGTGAGTCAGCTCACGAAACAAAAATTATACAACCGTGAATGAACATAAGACTCATACTTCCTATATTACAAAGACAGTTCATTAACAAATGGTCGACGAGTGATGGGGACGAGTGTGGCTGCGTCAGCGTTGGGTAACTAACCTCCCCACATTAATTACCTGTTCGCCGGATGCAACAGTTTGCCGGCCTCATTGTTACCATACCTGAGCCACAGCCGGTGAAGTTATATGTATATGGCAGCGTAGGAACACTAGTACACACAATGACGGAAGACACGTAGCAGGAGTAGTAGAAGCAGTGTGATATAGACTGTTGCACACTAGCATGTACCCCTTCCCTTCCCTTTCCTGTCCGTTGTGGTCGTGAGGGGGCTTAGTGGGCGGCTGCCAGGGTGTGATGCTCCATGGGACAGTCCTCTGACCTTTTGCGGCCTTATGCTCCTGCTGCTGTCTTCACTTATTATGCTGGTCACTGTCTCTTCTTATGTTTCGTCCCCCACCCCCCTGGGGAGCTGATAGGCGCAAGCTCCTCTTTACATTCCTCTCTCGTTCTGTCCAAACCTGATTATGGTTGCCCTGCTTACTCGTCTGCTTCTCCTTCTACCCTAGGCCGTCTTGACGCTCTGCACCATACTGGGTTACGCCTCAGCTCTGGTGCCTTTCGTTCGACTGCCGCCCTCAGTCTGTATGTTGACACTGGCGTCCTGTCTCTCCAGGACCGCCGTGATCGCTACTGACTTTACTACCTTGCACGGTTCTTGCAACACCTTCACTCTCGCCTATGTCGTGCTTTGAGCTTTATCCCTCCTGTAGTCCCTGTTCCCCTTCACCACCTCCCACTTTCTATACGATTGTCTCGCTTACAAGATGCTCTTTCGGTTCATGTTACTAATATTTCTCGTGTCGCTCCGTCTTTACCCCCGTGGAGGGTCCCCCCTTCCTAAATTTTGAAAAAATACTGACCCACATGACTAAAGATTTTACCCCTCCTACTGTTCTGATACGTCTTTTCCCTTGAATACTTTTTTTTCCAAATATGTGGACCCTCCCGCTCCATTTCCATTTTCACCGATGGGTCTAAGTCTGCTGACGGTGTTGGCTACTCTGTTGTTTGTCCTGACCACACTTATATGTGTCGCCTGCCTCCGGGGACTAACATCTTCACAGCAGAACTTTATGCTATTCTCTACGCTCTTCGTCTCTTGTTTTCTCGCTGTCAATCCTCCTCTGTGGTGGTAGTTGACTCTCGCAGTGCCCTCATGGCTCTGGAGTCCTTTAATCCTGTCCATCCGGTGGTAGTAGAGATTCCACATTGGCTGTTTCTTATTTCTAGTAGATTTAAGACTAAAGTTTTGCTGGGTTCCCAGCCATTTTGGTCTCTCTTCAAATGAGCGTGTGGATGCTGCTGCTAAGGAAGCTATCCGCACTTGTCCCATCTCCCATAAAGGTATTCCTTATTCCGACTTTTACCCGGTTATTCATTCCTCCATCCTTACCCGTTGGCAGGGTTGTCGGTCTTCTGTTAATGGTAACAAACTGCGTACTCTTAAGAGTAGTGTGTCCCTGTGGCCTTCCTCCTACCACCGTAACCGGCGGTGGGAAACGGCTCTGGCGAGTTAACATATTGGCCATACATGCTTAACTCGCGGACACTTAATGGAGCGCCGCCCTGCTCCTTATTGTCCTAACTGCATTGTCCCTCAAACGGTAGTGCATATCCTTGTTGAATGTCCAGAGTTCCAGGACGAGCGTGTCTTGCTTCCCGACCGTCCCTCGCGATCACTTGTCCCTCGATAGAATTATTGGGGAATCGGATACTTTTGATATCGTTCGCCTTATGCGTTTCTGTTCTCATATTGGCATCCTTAGGAATATCTTTACGCCCATTCAACAAGGATATGCACGACCGTAAGAGGGACAATGCAGCTTGGATAATAAGGAGCAGGGCGGCGCTCCATTAAGTGTTCGCGAGTTAAGCGGGTATGGCCCATATGTAACCGTGGTCAGAAAACAACAGAGTAGCCTTCACCGTCTGCAGACTTAGACTCATCGGTGAAGATGGAAATGGAGCGGGAGTGTGAA